CAGGAAGTCTAAGGCCACCAGGAAACCCCTGTAAAAAAATGCCTTAGCCTAACTGGAAATGAAAAAGCTAGGCATAGAAATATGTTTTCATATGCAACTATGGTTAAAAAGGACATGCCACATTTAGCTAAGAATTCACTTTGAAATACATATATACATTAACTACTACAGAATATTTCATTAGCAGCAATGATACCATAGTCATGTCTGCAGCATCCCTCATGGTCAGAGCCAAAACTGTAACAATTTTACTGCAGTTTTTACTGTGTTCTTGATTTGCTCTGAACAGCAGAATTTTGGCAGTTAACACGGTATTTTGAAGTTCTCTGCTGAATAAGTAGTTACATTTTCTGCTGTCTATGGTATGGAACATAAAGAATTAGAAATTTCAAACCATCCTGTGTTTTTAGTGATGTAAACAATTAATGAATGCTTTCATAAATGCTATAAAATTAGCATTAGGGTACCCTAATAAATGAACTAACCCAGTATCATGAAGAAACCCAATGCCTAAACAGGAGAATGTATGCAGTTATATGAAGCAGTGGGCTATGATCCAAAACTCCTGCAAGATCTCTGAGTGCCCCAGGAGCTAGATTTAGCCTCAAAGTCAAGAAAACCTTTGCAGAAGCAATTGTAACAAAGAAGCTTTAAAATGAAGCCTAAGTGTTTCAAAATATAATTTATGTCAGTTGACAGAGGCAATTGAATGTTATTTGGCATTTGGAAATAGCACTGGCAACTGGAACAAATGCTGAGGAAAAGCATATGGTAGTACAGTGATATATACAGTCAAATCAGTAGTTTCTGTAATTTAATATTATGCAGTCCCAATGTTTTCTGGGTTCCTAAAGAGTATCTTTGAGGCAATAAATGTAAGTAAAGCTATATTTTTCATGCCACAGTTTCTACTAATGAGGAAAGATGGAAAAGCCAGCATATTAAGTGGAAACAAAATAGGGTTTTGGAATGCCACTTATCATATGATTCTTATTAACACAGAAAGATGTTGCAAGGGATGGATAATTGTTTAAAGTGATCAGGAAAAAAAATTATGTGCACATTAAGCACAGCCATTAAAAAATAATAATTCCTGTATTGTATTAACTATGTGTAAAACTTGTTTTTACAAAACAAGCCTTGGAAAAAAGCTTTAACAGTTGTTTGGTTTGTGTTTTTTAAAACTATTTGTTGAAGGCTCTGGGAAAGAGGGAGATCTGTTACTTGAAATTGCAACAGTTTTCACTTAACACTGCACATTGCTGCAGAAATGGATGTAAAAGTGTCACTATGGGTCACGGTCTATAATCTATATACTCCTCAGCTGTGGAAGATGCTAGCACTTGGAGTCCTGAGAATATATGGCACTAATAACTAACCTTGGTGTGTTGTTTGCATGTGTATAGTTTAGCATACTTTTAACAAAGATTCACATTTGTAATGGTAATAAGAGTATTTCTAAAGCTGTAGAACAAAAGTAGTTATTTTGTCAATATTTTCAACATGAAAGTTAATTCCCATTAAGATCATGAATGACAAAACTATGAAGATAAATTCACTTCTCTTGCCAATGAGACTCATTTTTCTCAAATTAGTGTGTAAAAAGGAAGCTAGTTAGCAGATCACTGTTCAATTTTGCAAGTATTCATACACTCACGGAAAAACATCACATTTCCCTTGAAAAATATTCACAGAAGAACACTATTATACCACTGAGCTTTTTTACTGATGTCCCACTTGCAGCTTGTCTAATTGCTAACTGCAAATTATAACCCTCAGCAACAAAACTATTTGGAGAGACCATAGGTTACAAGGAAGAAGATGAGAACCAGCATAATTTTAAAAGCACCTAAGGGGTAAGCAAATGTTTTACAGTAATTTTAATTAAAAACAGGAGGCAAATTTCTCAAAAAAATTGCTAACAGTATCTTCTATTCATCTTGTCTACAACAGACATCTCCTAGTCATGAACTAGTAATGGCTTTGAGTGTAAACAGAAATGAAAAAAAAATGAGGATGAACATGGAATTTTATTGCTGCAGTCATCTTGCCCAAAACTGTCTGCACAAAAACTCACTAAAAGCAATTTAGTTTGCTGCTACGTACAATGCCCCCTTCCACAGCCACTAATCAGCTGCAACAAAATAAAATATATAGTCAAATAACCTTTTCCCCTAGGAAAACATATATTTAAAGAATTTTTAATACTCTCTTTAATAAAATATAAGCTTTAATAAAATATAAGCTCATAAGTTGAAAACCCTCCTCTATTACCCTTGTGTAACTACATGTAAATATTAGTTACACAGCCTGAGCTTCCCCAGCAGGTCCAAATGTCCATCCCAATTGCTCTGGAGTTTAGAGTTCAAGGTTTATTACTGTTTCCTATCCAGTAATAAGTGCTTTGCAAGACTGTTAGCAGCTAGAGCTGAAATCAGCTTTGCCAGTCACAGATGATTTCACTCCCTATGTTATGTAGGTAATTGTTGCAATGCAGTTAGGAAAAATGGTATGACCCAAAGAATGTACCCCCGAAAATGTAGAATTGTAAGTTTCTTTCCCTTATCTTTTTCTCCTCAGTTCCCCTTATTGGTTGTGTGAATTCCCTCCACCCCTTTCCCCCTGTCTTCAAAAAGGAGTGCTTATCAATACCTCTTCCTCTTTCCTTCCTGCTACCTCACTCCGTAGGATCCCAAGAAATAAAGCTGTAACTGCCATCTCAGCAAAGGGAAAGAGCTCGTTTTTAGGTTCTTTGATAAACTAATCTATTTCCCCTGTCTCCCTGGCTGCTGCTGGGCGGACAGTGGTAACAGAGAGGCAGGGAACATTAGAAATTATAGCAGGTAATATGCCAAAAAGACTGTTAAATGAGAGCTTAGGTACCACCTAATGATGGCAAATGATGGAGAACAGTTGTTCTCTCCCTGTTTTGTTTTTCTTTTTTTTTAAATATAAGAATAATTCCAGTAAATATTCATGAGTGTCTGCAATTTCTCACTTCTGCTGTGTCAGAGCCACAGCCACAAGCTTTCAGGCATATACACTTCTGCTACTTTTTATCTGACACTTGTCATATACCTAAACATAATTTGTTAAATCAGGGAACCAGCTTACTGTCATCATTTTATGTTTAGATATAGCCTGAATATAGTGCACTCTTAGAACAAGTATGAGAAAATGGATATGAATGAAAATACTAATTCTCCCAGGAGAACAGACATCAAGACAGGACTACAGAAATTACTGAAAACCATATATTCAATTCCCCTAGAAACTTAGCCCATTTGTTTTTATATATAGTACAATAAATTTTTAGTGTTTAGTGTTTTATTGCCTGGGTATTCACAGTGGAATTTATCATACAACTAGACTTAAATACTACAGCGCTCTAATTAAATTTGTCTTAAATAACTAATTGTGTGAAAATTATCTGAACTCTTGTTCAAATGCATAACTGTTTAAAAATAATTCACTTGTTCTCTTCCACTTCTCTTCCCATCTCACTCTTTTTTCATTATTATTTAATTGACTTTCAACATTGTTCAACACTTCTAAGGATTTGGGGCAAGAAAAATCTATGGAAGTCCTATTTCAATTTAATTTCATTGTGCATGCTTTTATTCCTTCCTGTCAAGAAAGTTTGACTAAATTTTTAAAATTCTAAATAGCAAGGCAATTCTCTAAAGACCTGGTCCTATGCCCAGTGAAGTGAACTTGGATTCAATTGGATAAAGAGCAGGAGGGATTGGAGGAGTGCAATGCATCTCAGTTGGCTTGACTGACCAAAAGGACTGCTTGCTATTTAAGAAATGCTAGTGCAAATAACAGAATACACAACATAGTGTAACTATATTATTTGAACACAACTTTTCTGAATCCTTCTGAAAGAAGAGTCTTATTTTTTAACAGATAAAGTGCAGTTACTTCAGAGAGCAAAGGCATGAATCAAAATAGCTTTTAATAGATTTATAGTTTATCATACTTATAAAAAAAGAAGAACTAATATCTTAATTGAAGGTCCTGCTTTTAAGAAGTAACTTTAAGAAAGTAAGTTTTCCAGTTTAAATTAGTTAAAAAAACATTAGGAGTCTCTACTTTACATTATCACACATTATTCTGAATTATGGGTATTCCACTTTTCAAAAATTGTTTGGTAGCATTTGAGGTTGTCTGTGTCTTTTTTCAGTTTCTGTCTTAACCCTGAATAAAATGACACCAGAAAATGGTCATAATCCAAAATACTTTTAATCCAACTTACTTATCCGGCGTATTTTTAACAGTGCTAAAAGCACATCAGGTGGGTTCAGAGCATGAGGGGAATGGTAGTCACCAGCAGACTCCATTTTTTATATTATCTGGTCTCAAAATCACCTAAGATGCAAACTTTCTTTTTCTATGTGTGTAGTGTACAGCTGTTCAATACAAATATGTTTTGCTGTTCACCCTTTCAAACAAAAGAAAACAGTCTGTAAACAGGAAAAAATACCTCTTGTCCAAGTTCACAGTAGTTACATGGCACCACAGTACACCATGATACAGTTAAAAGGGAAGACACAAACCTACATTTCACCATAATCCTTCCTTCATCAATGAACATTTATATAATGAGTATATATACATGTGTGTGCATTTTTCTTAATTTTATAGTAAAATGGAAATTCAGGTTATTGAACTGTTACAGGATCTGACATTTGTTGGTTCACTCATTTTTCAAGTCTAATAAGAAATCTGGGAATCTGTCACTAGCTCTTGGATTTTGGCTTGCTCACAAGGGAAGAGAAGGAGGGAATAAATTGGTAAACAGAAGGTTGTGTTAATCTTAGCACCACCTTAAACAAGCCTCACTGAGAAGCTTACTCAGAATGTAATTTTTCCTTTAGTTTTGTTTGTTTGCTTCATTGAGGTTTTTTCTAACAGCTTTGAAGAAAGTGACAGGGAACACATGGGACAGAGTATTAGAGAAATTTAATCTCAAAAGGGGAGAAAGTGTTTTATGTTACCTCCTGGTTAGCAGCAGCTAGTTCTTCTTCCAGTGCAGAGACTCTTTCTAAAGAAACCCTCAGTCGTTCCCTTACCTAGAAGAAAAATCAAAATATGTGCAGTAACGTAATTTCTATTAGTCTTTAAAGATTATATAATCTGCCATATGCTCTACTGTATGCCCTGCCACTCCACTTCCAGGCATGTGTGCTGCACCCTTGCAAGAGACATACTGTGTAGTAAACATTTAAACCTAACTATAGGAAAACTTAACCCATTAAAACAGGTGTCAAACTTTAAATGCCACATGGCTGTTCCACAGTCTGCCTGAAATTTCATGGAATACACAGCAAATGAAAATATTTTAGGACCACATTAGGTATAAAACTTTCACAAACATCTTTTACAAAGGATAAAGAATAAAACATTTGCAGATGTTTTAAATTCACTCCATGAAAGATAACTAATCTGTTTATAGTAACTGAGTGCAATAAATTCATAGAAAAATAACTTGTAGCATTGCCTTCAGGCCCATATACTAGAAATCTTTTATATCATCATGCCTTTGTTTCAGTTTTGCAAAAAGTCATAAACAATGTATATACTCTCATAAGCAGAAAAATCTTCTGTGTTTGCACCAGTTTCATAAATAACCTAATCTGTTCAGAAGAAGATTATGATCTCAATTATTATTAGTAGTATTTTAATTTTTGATAAATATTGATTATTAATAGTTAATACTAAATGTATCTGAAGACACATTGAGAGCTGGTTTGAGTGCCCTGGCTCATTGTTAGCTTGTGTAGCTCATGTAACCTAAGCCAGCAATATAGCTGCAGTAAAACCAAAGGCAAATCAGACCTGAAGTGACCTCCAGTGCTGTGTGTGACTCTCTCCTGACTGCTAAGGGACCCTGTGACTTTCCTAATTTACAGAACTTCATTAGGCACCTCACAATAAATGAGTTTATAGCCTGGCTAATCAGTCAACACTCCAAGTATATTTCTTTCCATGTTCCAGCTACGCTGCAGCAATGCTGTTCCAGCTGCTGACCCATGGATGTTTAAGGCTATTAGCAATGTTTGTAGGGTAAGGTAGCATACTCAATTAGACCAAGAGATGTAGCTGGAAAATTATGCAAAACAAAATCAGTCTTTCAAACTTTCAAAACAAAGAAACATGACATGTTTTCATTGTTTTCAGATCTGTGACAAATACAGGAGATCCCTAAAACAGTTGTATATATCCTAACGCTTTCATATTTTTTCCAGTGATAGCTCTTAGTCTAATAAATATTACTTTTTTTTACACAGTTCATTTTTATTTGGTACTGACTGAAATGAGATTTTTCTAACAGATTCACTATATCCCAAGAATGGATTAGACTTCAGTAGATGAAAATTAGTTAGCAAAACTATAACACAGCATGTTCAGTTGACTTTAAAACTGACTAAATCTAAAGATGAAATACATATTCAGGAAGCAAACATTTAAAACTATTCACCCTTTCTAACAAATGCAAATAGAGTTTTTATGCAGTACTTTGAGGCTTTTGTTCCTCTTTATATAGTTTATTTAAAACTAGTGAGGGGTGTAGACCTGTCTCCAAGAGGCCTGATTTCAACTTCTCTAACCGCCATGGGAGCTGGTGTACAACAACTTTTTAACAAAAATCTCAGATTAGATGTGAAAAATTACAATCATGTTTCTGGCTTCAGTCCCTTTGGCTGTTAGTGCTGCCTTGGGACAGGATGATTAAGAGAAAATTTACAAGCAGGCTGTTGTTAAAAGCCAAAATGAAATACAATGAGTTGGCAACTTTACTTGAATTTTTTTCTGAAACCTTCATGTATTTAAGTCTTAAGAGTGTTGTATAAAGGAGAATGTATTTTAAAAAATGCATTATAATATTTCTTATACTGACATACACTTTGAATGGTGTTAGAATTTGCAAACCAGCCAGGCCACATTACTGAGGATGTCACAGCTCTACAAGGAGCTGGAATCAGAAGAATTACACTTAAACTTTACACACTGTGGCACTGTAGAACTGAATCCTAGTGGGTTTTATACAGCCATTTTAGAGTTTGTTAACAATACTCCCTCTAAACAACAGAGAGCTCTGGAGACACAGTTTTTTACATGGCACTTCAGCAAAACTAGGTAGAGAATTAATGTTTCTATTGAGCTATTATATTCAAATACATTTCTTTTCATTCTTGGCCTGTTGGCAGTGACAACATTGAACATTTCCAGTGTAAGACAGAGTAACAGTTGGAAGCTGTTTCCTTTGTCCTGCCTTACCTCACCTTCCTCCCACATACATAGCTAATACACTGCCTTTTTTTATAATGACCTAACCAAAATTGCAGTCTGATGGCTCTTATTTGTTCTCTGAATCTAACAGTTGCTAAAGGAATTGAAATCAATTCTGCCTTGGCACAGAAAGTATCTTTTTTCCTTTCATCTGACCAGTGAACAACAAATTGAGATTCCCATTTGCTATAGAGACATTGGAATGGCTGCAACTAATTCTTCATTTTCAAACATAAATAAAGCTGTTGAAGTTGAGGGAAATCTTTGATTCTATTAGTAAAAAAATAAGTTACATCAGCACTCTGATATGAAGGAGAAATCTGCTCTGGTTAAAGCTGTAACTTTATTTCTCATTTTACATTTCTTTGTCAGTCATACACAAGTGTATTACAAAGGATTTTTTATTGGAATCTCTCTTCAAATTTCTGTTCACAGCAAAAAAAATCTCAAACAGAACCATCCTAATTTCTGAGAGATGCAGGAAAGGTTGTTTCTCTGGGTCACTATCTTGTTATAGAAAAAGGAACTGGAACAAATGCAAACTATTTTTATCTGACAATTTTTGTTTGTGTTTTTTTTTTTATGTGATGAATGCCAATTAGTGATTGGCATATTACACTGTTTTCTATTTTCTGGAAGTGACAGTAAGTGAGTAACTGTAGTTAATAAGAATTATCTTACTGAGATCATGTGTATCACTTCAGAAGTTACTCTGCTTAAATTTCATACAGTTCTTCAACATATTTTTATTTTCTTGGGCACATGATAGAGCTTTACTAAAAAAGGTTTCACAAAGACTAATCAGATGTCAACTGATCTAACAGAAATGCTATCATACACATTTTTAAAGGACAAATACCTGGAGAATAGAAGGCTCTAGGGTGAACTTCTGGTACCTTCCAGTTTCTAAGGGGGGCTTACAAGAGAGCTGGAGATTTTTTACAAGGGCAGGTAGTGACAGGACAAGGTGGAAGGGATTGAAACTGAAAGAGGACAGATTTAAATTAGATATTAGGAAGTCATTTTCTTACTGTGGAAGTGGTGAGCCACTGGAACAGGTTACCCAGAGAAGCTGTGGATGCCCCACCCCTGGAAGTGTTTCAAGGCCAGTTTGGTTGGGATCTAGAGCAACATGGGCCATGAATGGTGTCTCTAACACTGCAGGGGGTTCAAACTAGTGATTTTTAATTATTTCCATGTTGTGACTTTATGACTGTAGTGTCACAGACACAGCAGAAAAGAGTTGCTCTCTCCATGTTAGAGGGTGTATCCAACATATGCCCAGATGACTGAGTATTCTTCTGGCTTTTAAATGCAACCACATTATCTTTAAATGTAACACAGTCAATGTCATGTTAGCACTGCTGTCAGTGTAAAATATCACCCATCTTTCTCTGTCTCCTAGCAACTGCTTCCCACTTTTTTGCTTGCTGTCAAATTCTTTCTTCGTTCTCTTCAGATCTGCAGCCCATAAAAAGCTTTTAAGAAAACACTTGCACACTAGAATTGAAGCACTTTTTTTTGATAAACAGTGTATTGTATAAAAGTTCTCCTAGTTACCTGCTAATGAATAAAAAGACAGTGACAATGCTGATACAAATTGGCTAATTTTGTTTTTAAGAATATCAACTATGCTTTTCAACCATTAATTAATCTCAAGAGAACCAGTGGGTTTTTGATTCTTAGCTAAGACAGCAACATCTGGTAGCTGCTTTCCACTGTGAAGATCAACTGGGTGCTTTTCTTACAACACTGACCAAAAAACTGGGTTTGGAGAAGTTGCTTCTTTCTTCTTTCCAAATGTACATTTTAAAAGTTGAACCCAAAGTTTAAAGCAAAAGAGGAAAAATGTCTGCAGGACAACAGTCATATTCAGATCTATATTAGAAGGCTAGTAGAACTATAGAATGGCACAAGTAACATAATATTTTTTCTACCTTTTGTTCTTTCTGAATTGTATATAAGGACTATATATTTCCTGACCTACTCAACGTCTATTCTAACCATGAAGTTAACATGAGCTTCTATTTTTTATTCAGCTCCAGTGATTTCTAGGAAATATTGTCTTTACTCACTCTTTTAGAAACAATTCTGTGTATATTCATATATAATATCACAAAATATTTTGCAGTGTTGCCTTACATTAGTTCCACAACTCCTCATTGCATGAAAAAAACCACACAACAAAAGTATGAACTACTTAGCAGCAATAAGAGAAGTGCTTGCTACCTGAAGCATTAAGAAGGACAAGGTAAATAACTGAAGGGAGGTTTCCACCCTATGAACACTGCTATGAATTTAAACTGACTTATACAATTGCAAATTCTATAAGAAATGTTAAGTCAGAATTTCACACTGGTCCTAGCCCAAATCACTCCTAATTCTGGTGTTTCAAACTTCACATTTTTTAAACAATGGTTGTTGTTTGTGACAAATAACCTAAACTTACACTTAGGTAAAATAGTCACTGAATTTAACTTCTCACATGATGAAAATTTAAAATTGATAGCAGAACTGCCCATTTGCTTTGGTTTTTTATTTCTAAAAATGTTAGCATAGTTAGATATACAAAATTTTTTGCAAATGTATAACTTCTCTCAAATTAATTTTCTAAATAATAATAATAATAATAATAATAATAATAATAATAATAATAATAATAATAAATGCAGTTAGTGTGGTATCAATTTCATTTGCTGTGGCACAACTTACCCAAGGAGACACAATGAGATTTTTCTGAGGGACACATATAATGGTAAACATTTCTAAACTAAATGAACTCTGTCATTATCCCCAGGCCCTAAAGCAAAAATTCTCGTAAAATACATTAAAACAGTCTGTGAAGACTTTTGTTTGGCTCTACTGAGGTCTCGTACAGACAATGGGGTAAGACTAAAAGCATACTCTTACCATTTCCTACTTACTAGAAGGTACCTACTGGGCTCAGCCAAACAGGCTCTCTCACATGGGAAGCTCGTGACAAGCTTTCATTCTCCAGGATTGTGTCATGTGGATAACGAGAGGGATGATGAAGGAGCTGTCAGACTGAAAAAACTGCAATGACAGCCATATTTTCTCAGAATAATGCGATCACAGCTGTGATCTCTCTGTGGTGATCTATCTTTTGGACAAAAGGTAAAGGCAAAGCCCAGACTTCACGCAATAGAAAGTCAACAGACTGAAATAAGGTATCACTCACTCCTGATTCTTTTTATACTTAAGCAGGCCCGCCGAGAAATTGATACATTTTATTTTTCACTTTCCAATCTGTTAGGAGGTTTCATTGCATTTTCTTATAGCAATGAGGATGGTTTTGTAGTTCTTGTACTGTGCATGTAGCAATCCTTTCATGATCAGTCAGGTTTTGTGGCAGAGCTTGTTACAACACATCAAGTTGTTTTAGTGTAGGAAGTGAAAACATGAAAAAAAATTTGCATTCAGGAAGAATTTTAAGATTTTCTTCATATTTTTGTAAGTTTAAAGGGCAAAACTTCTCATGAAAATATTATGTTATGCTTTTCCAAGAATGTAACATCCACATTATTAGTTTCAGTCAACATTTTTTGTGAAGAAAAAATTAAAAAATTTGCATTACTCATTTGCAAAGGATCATGATACATTTCCAGTGCACTTCTGACAGTTTTTATTACTCTTTATCCATTAACGTACTTCAGCTTTGTGTGCACTTTCTGCTGGGGCACTGTTTATTTTGCTGTGACATCAGTGTATCATAAATCGTGTTTTTTTGACTCAGGTTTACTGTGAGACTCTGCCTGCAGGCCTCCCCTGCGCACAGCAGCAGTCTGTGTGGGGGAAGCATTACCCACAATATAGGCAAACAAGACATACATAGGTCAAACTCCATTGACTCCATCCATGGATGCCAAGAGACTTGATTAGTTTGTCATAAGAAGACCTTTTTCTACTTTGAAAGTACCAGAAGTCAGGGAGATTCCTGATGAGTGGAAAACTCACAAAAGTTTTGTCCTCCTTCATGAAATACAGGAGTTATTCTGGGAAGATCCAGGAAAGTACAAGCTGGACAGTGTAGGGAACGTTATAGAGAAAATCTTCCAGGAAGCATTTTCAGGCACATAAAGGCTAAGATGGTGATTCGGGAGAGCCAGTATGGTCTTGTCAAAATCAAATGATATCTGGCCAATCTTACTGCCTTGCATAATGAGAGGACTGGTTCCATGGGTGAGGGGAGAACAGTGAATGCTCTTTGTCTTTACTGAGATTTTCTGCAAGATCTTCCATTTATACCTAGAGAAACTGGTGAGATGTAAATTGGTGAAACAGATTCCATGGTGCATCAAAAATGGACTGGACTGCAAGGTTCAGAGGTTTGTGATTAGCGACACAATGTCTGTGTGGCATCCCATTGCCACAAAATGCACAGCCCTAGGGAATGAGACAGGCTTTGGGAAGAGAAAGCAGTTTTGCAGAAAAGCCCTAGAGGTGAAAAAGGGCAGCACACAGTTTGGCCCGTGGGTTGGAGGAAATTATTATTTATCTCCAGACTTTTGAGGCTGCATTTGGTTTTGAGCTTCCTGGCAGAAGAAAGACATTGGCAGATTTCTATGAAGGCCCAGCAAGTTGGCTGCGGGCTGGAGTGCACAGTATACAAGACAGGCTGAGAGAGCTGGGTCTGGTCAAAGTGAAGGAGGAAATGTTCCTGGGAGATCTAATTGCTGTCTACAAGCAGCTAACCAGAAGATGTGGAGGAAACACAGCTAGATTCTTCTTGCAGATGCAGGAAGGGAAGACCTTGCTGCAAGAGGACAAGAGGGAACCAGTGCAACACTCAACAACAGAAACTCCAGATAGGTATTACAGGAAAAAACTACAGTGAGGGTGGTGAAACACCAGAAGAGGTTTTCTGCCTAGAAATTACTCAGAAGTTATTGGACAGGACCTTAAGCAACCTGAAACAGTTGGCCCTGCTTTGAGCAGGAGGTTGAGCCAGATGTCTCTGAGGAGCTCCAACCCACATTGTTCTACTCGTCACTGAAAAGCTTCAATGCATTTTTATAGGCGGATTGATATCTTATTTCTGAAGGGTCTGAAACAAATCTAACTTACATAACTTTTCTGTCACCATGCAGAACATATGACTCACATGCCATAAAAAAAATTTTAGCACATTTGGGTGCATGCAGTCTTTTTTACTTTCATTATTTTTAAATAAAAATCACCATAATGCTGACAATTTGTGAAAGCATTATATTATCAAGTATCTGGGTGATATCTGCAACAACTTTGATCCAATCTTTCCAGAGACACTGTAACAAAACCAGAAATTTTTATATAGGATTTGTACTTTAAAATAATGTGGTCTGGGCTTATAACAAATTATTTTAAAATAATTTATTAAACTGTTTACTGGACTTATCTCAGAATACTTTATAGCAAAAATATGATTTATTGCATCAAAATAAAAAAGGTTCAATGCAAACATAAACAGCATGTTGGAAAAGTAATTTTGACTGATTTCAAAGCTTGTTTTATAATGGAACGAATCTTCTGTTAATATGATTGCAGATGGTTGACTTTTCTAACCTGATAATTGTCATTACCACTGGGACAGGAATCAGTTAGATACATAAGATGTCTATCTGTGTCATTCCAAAAAATTTTAATGTGCTGAATACTGATTTTAACCTATTTCATTTAAAATAAGAATAGAATTTTCTTTTGACAATGTAAGCCAAATTTTTCAATAATTCAAGTCAAAATATTACATGTAGCTTCAATATAATTCCATACAATAGTTTTCAAAATGGGATGTAAAATAAACTGCATAATACCAAAACAGTAAAGCATTCACAAAAGAAAATGTGTAAGAGGTACACAGCTGTTGAATAATCAGAATCGATTTCAAGTTTAGTTCTTACTATTTCTCATACTTATCCAACACAATGTCAAAAAGTATAAAAGCTGCAGAGCTATCTACCCTAGTTTTATTGATATTTAAAGTGCTGGCTAAAAGATCAAAGCTCAGCATATAAATCCCATCAATCTTCAAAAGATCTTTGTAATAATACAGAATTTTTAAATTCTTAATGACATTTAAAATCTTATTACAGTGGCTAGAAGTCATTATATTTCCTCTTCTAGATTTTCTTTGAAGATGCTTTCATGATATCTGAGTAGAACACATAACCCAAAATATACCTAAACACATAATATGTTTTTATTTAGTCTAAGTTCCCTTAATTTATTTGAATTTGAACATGATAGCTAACCTAGAATGACTCATAACCCACAGAGTCTCATCCTTTCATTACCAATGATATATATATTGCTATATATCTTCAGCTACCTCAGTTCATTAAGTAAAGTCAACTTTCTGAGTCTATTTCTGGAAGTTAAATTTGCTCCTGTGATACCATTAAATTGGTTCTGTACAATCCAGCTCATCTGTGGAGTCAATGGTTTCGGAGGCTGTGCTGCACAATGTCATCCCTGCTTACCCAACCATCTCAAACAGAGAAGCAGCAATGAGCAAATCAGCCAAAACAGACCCCATAAGGAATGAGGTTCTTTGCTCATGAGCCTTGTTTCTCACGTGCTCCCTGCATGTGTAGTTTTGAGGCACTTACTAATTCCTATAAGTCACCTTCCGAGCATGTTGTTTCTAGACTTGAACTGGATTTCCGAATTCATGTACACAATACTCAAGGTGATAATTCATAGTTGAACAAAGTTTCATTCACTTTGAATATAGTCTTTCCAGCACAGGATAGATGAGGAATGCAATGTAAGGACCCTCATCATTAGCACGACTGGATGCAGTTATCAGCGTTTTTTACCTTGATTCTGCAGACCCTTCCTCACCACTGATAATCAAGAATGTACTACTTACTTTAGGTTATGTTCCTTGTAAAGGGAATGCATTTCTTGTGTAGCAAAGGCTAAAAAAATCTCTGAAATTAAGGAGGTTTTTCTCCTAAAAATACCTAAGAGCCAAGTTCCCTTATGTAGTTAGGAAGAACTCATTCTTCCTCTCTGTGTGTTTTTAAAATTTGAGGCATACCTGCATTTTCATGACCATAACTTAAAATCACATTTTACACCTAATAAATTCTACAGGATCATCTTTATTTAGTGCTAAATAGGAAAAGCATGTCTGGTAGGGATGAGATTTGCTTATTTTGAGAAGTAATTTCTATTGTCTATAAAAGATAGCTGAAGTGACTCTGAGTGCATTACAGCTATTGGCCATACATGCTTACCATCCAGATTTCTCTGGACACCTGTAAATGCTCTAAGTACAGCCTTCATTCCAAGGAGTAAATAAACAATACTCTTGCTCTGCTGCATCACAAAGCACAATTAGGCAAGTTAAAGAGTATATTTAGCAAGCTTTTTTTCCATACTGTACCTTTTCATCCAAAGCCTTGTGGTGCTCAAACAAAGATTTCAGAGCTTTGAGGACCTCAACTTCACTGGAAACTCCTGAGGGAGACTGTGCTTGTCGTTTCACCACTGTCATCCTCAGGGACCTTTCGTGTCTCGAGACAAGGCACTCCAAATGCTCCAGTAACAGCTATTGGATTTGAAATAAAGTTATTAATTTCTGCACCCCTAAATGCCGCATAAATCCTAACTACAAAGTGCATGATAACAAACAGCAATTTTCTTGGAAACCTCATGGCAGAAGAGATTGCTGGAACTATTAGAAATATTTCATGTTTCTAAACCAGATGGAATAAATGGAAAAATAGAAAATCTACTCATGATTTGACTTAACACTCTGCTATGAAAAGCAAAAACAACAAATCATTAAGCATAGGGTCACTGTTTAAATTAATTACATATTTGCATATCATTTGTGATAGTAACTGACAAGTATTGGCAGCCAAATAAACAAAGACAGTCTAAAGAATCATGCAAAAATATTAAACAAGTTTACAATTAATTCAGCCTAACTGTAATATATTTTCGATTTATCTTGAAAGCAACTTAACACAATATGTAGGAGTGAACAGTATATTTTATTAGATTTTTAAGACTATTCATTAGAACTGCCCCAGCTAATGGTGCTCGTCACTAGCACATGCTTTAAAATATTAATTTCCTCTGTTGTATTAAAAACACCACAAATACCAGAGAGGTCCATAAACATCTGTAAAATAGACCATAAATAACATATTAAAAAACGTATTATATTTATTTTTCATCATTACTCTGAGGTTAAAGGAAAAATTAAAATGGTATGTTGATGTTGTATAGAAAATTCCTCATTTACCCATACTTTCACAGGGCTACCATTGCTGTTTTTAGTGCCTGAGCATTAAAGAGACTTGGTTAGCTGTAAGGTTAAATCAAGGTAGCTAAATTCATGAATCAGAATGCATGTTAAATGTATTGTAATTGAAACAAACAATTATATCTAAGTCATTGAACTGGAAATCTGAACGTTACTTGGACAATTGTTTAATATTTCTCCTTTGATGTGGCTCTTAATATAGCTACTATTAGTAAATATATGTATTTATCTTTAATCCACAGTTATTCTCAGTTACATAATAGTTTCTATTCTTACACTAATTACTAGACATAGAAGAGCAAAAGCAGAGGGCAATTACATTAGAGATGTATATTGATATTAAGTCAGAATAAGAATGATTATGATTTGGTGTCATCTTTGCTTCAAGCATGGTTCTTATGTCTGGATTTGCAGCTGGTTATTGTGTTACAATAACTTTATTCTTCACGAATTGTGAATGACTATGTGAACAATGTTAATACAATGAGACTTAGAAAGACTCCCTGCAGTTCAAGAAAGGAGGGTCTCCCTATCATTTCTGAATCCAAGTCATGGCCTGTATTTATCAAAAACAAATGAACAAGAAATTCACAAGCTTTCTCATTCCTGAAGGGCTAATGGCAGATATAGGTGGATTTTTAATTATTTGAGGCAGACAAAAGCAGCAAATTTGAAAAGACCTCTTTAAGATAGAGCCATCAAGAATTCAATATGGGGCTGTGGGAAGTTGCAAAATTAAATGAGATTAGAACTTTTCCAAATACTTACAGAGTATTTTTGTTCATAGTAGTAATTAAATAAACAATTAATTGCTATTATAAATAGAACTGAATTGCTGAATTTTGGTCTAAATTCTTGTATCACCATGTTTTTTCTAGGCCATCTACGTTATCTGGGAGAGAGCTGGAGGAAAGTCAATAGCTGATTTCTAATTCTTCAACTGTCTGCTGTGTCTCTTGAAAGAGTCTGTGAGGGTGCAACATTTCCTTCTCTGTGCAGCCTAACTCTGCCCAGCTCCATAGCCCTGGGGTAGCCAGAATCTGACTCTAATCCATGCTGTGCACTTAGATTTCCCCACGGTCATTCCCAACTCCTGGCTGATTCCATTAGAGCCTGGCTCATCCCGATTGGTTCTCTTTATGCAGAAATTTTTCAGTGCATCACAGCTATGTCTTGATCATTCTAAATCCAGCCAAAAGGCTACAGATATCTGAAGAAATTGGGAAAAAAGGGAAGACATTGGCCCACAGTTGAGTTTTTAATATGGCCATTCCTTCCACAGGTCTGTAGTTGTCTAATGCTCAAACTGACACCCACTAAACCAGCCCAGAGTAGCAAAACCTTGGCAACCTTTTTTTCAGCCCAACTCTGAGCAAATTTATGATATTTGGTGTCCTACTACCCTAAATGACTTATCTCCCAGACAAATGCTGTGATAATCAGAGACTTCTGAGAGCCTGCCTGCAAGACTTAGTTGGACAGGAAAATAGGAAAATCTGGTTTAAGAGAGGAAAAAAGTTATGGTGACATGGAAATTTTGACATGGAAAAATATTAATGACAGAAGAAATGACACATAACCTATAGCAGAGAGACAAATAAGGAATACACAAAAACCTCCTAGCACACATCCAGCTCATTTTGAGCTGGGGCAGACAGATAATCCCAAAAGGGCATGTGAAGTCAGCATGGACAGAAGACAAGAAATTTGCTAAGCAAAGGCAGAACAGAGATCAAAGAGAATGATGAAGAGACAAAACAAGTTAAACAAGGTTTTCAAGTATAAGAAGCGAGCAGACTAGTGGGAACTCAGAAGCTCTAATGGGGTGATTGTGGAGGAGTTTGCTAGTTGAGATGAACAGTACAGCACTCTAGGCTTTTGCAGATTAGCTACAGATACATATTTAGGTTATGTTACTGCCATGTTAGAAACACGCCTAATACATATTACTAAACCACTGACAATCACGCATTTAAGATACACAAAACTAAGTTTGTTTTTAGCTTAGAGCAATTTCAAAGGAGAAAAAGACATATTCCAATGTCTGCATACATTTCATAGTTGCTACATAAATCAAGTGTAAAATTCTGTGTTGCCTATTTTACTGTAAACAGATTCTCACAGCTGTGTCAAAAGACCCATGGAGAACTAAAACAGTGCTTGTGAACATTTCATACTTTTTCTTTCTGTTCATATTTACTCAAGCATTTGCGTCACTTATTCTTTTGGAAACTACCTCTGATCACGGAATTTTCCTTACCATCAGCTCTAGGAACGTTCAAGAAGGCTTGCTAACATAGGTTTTTCTTTTGTAAAAATGTCTTATTTTTGCTTTTCAACAAAAATAACATCTATTTCTTCACAACTTCTGTTAGCACTGCTAACAGCAAAACCAGCTGAGAAGGGAATACTATTAACCAGGTTTCTTAGTGAAACATCACTCCCAGTTCTGCTGAAAGGGAAAAAACCTAAGGGATAACACATGTGATTGTGACTGAGAACAAAGAGCAAATCCTTGCCCCCTGCTCTGATGAAATGCTGGGTTCACAGAATAATAGAATTGTTTAGGCTGGAAAAAAACTCTAAGATCATCAAGTCCAGGCATTAACCCAGCACTACTACGTCCTCCACTAAACAAAGTGCCCAAGCGCCGCATCTACACATCTTTTAAATGCCTCCAGGGATGGCAACCCTACTGTTTCCCTGGGCAGCCTGTTCCAATGCTGTATCCAATTATGAAAATAATCTTCTTGGTGAAGAAATTGTCCATGATGCCCAGCCTAAACTTCCCCTGGTATAACTTAAGACCATTTCCTCACTTGTTACCTGGGAGAAGGGACTGATCCCACACCTGACTTACATTTGTAGAGAGTGACAGGGTCTCCTCTGAGCCACCTTTTCTCCAGGCTAAACATCCCCAGGCCCCTCAGCTGCTCCTTTTAAGACTTGTGCTTCAGACTCTTCACAGCTTTGTTGCCCTACTTTGGACTTGTAACAATAGCTGCTGTTTTATTCAACTTTTCCCCAGTTACAATTATATTAAAAAAAAGGGGTAATAGATCTTCCCTGCTTCCCATGGAAGTGAAAATGTCAACAACACTGACAGAATTATGAAGTGTCTCAGGGCTACAATGATGAGGGAAGGGAATATAAACATAGATGAGTGACATTGAAGATGATGGCGTGTCCAACCAATGTTTAACATCTGAGGGAAATCACAATAACTTCTGGGCATGCTGAGGACTTTCCTCCACATGTGTAGTTCAAGAATTAATATTCCAAATAGCTGTGAGAACATCACAAGTTTTCACGTTGAAATAATGTTGCAACAATAATGGTAATTCATTTAAACTACAAAAGAATGGTTACAAACAGCTTTAGGGATTTCAGTAAGTTGCAATTAAACTCTGGCATTAATAGTGATCATGGGCTGCTGAGCATTTTCTGCTCCCTCACACTGTCAAGCTGTAACAGTTGTCAAGCACTCAGAGGGACAGGCAGCTTGCAAAGAAAAGAAGATGAAGATCAACAGCAGCAGGTAGGACAGAATCACCCACGCATCATTGCTGTGCTTTCCCTACTGGAAAGCATAAGCTTGACAATGAATTATGAAATAATCTGACAAGTGAGTTTTATGCTGGACAAATTTTATGATGCTCATGATGCCGTGCTGATAATTGTATTTTATGTAAATAGGATTGTTTCTGGAACTCTGGACTTTTTATAAGCATAAAAAAATATATAAAAAATAATAATTTAAAGACTGAAAAGTGCTCTAGTGCATATTTTTTGAATGAATGTAGCATCTTTAAAGTGTTAATTAGAATGAAATGAAAATGAAAGGTGAAAAATTTAAGAATATACCCAGCTTCCTGTATTTCTCAAATCACTTACAAAGCACTTATGGAAGTGATTGATTTCTGTGAAACAGAAATGCATGGTTAGATTTAATGGTATAAACTACCTCAGTGTGGATTATCACCTACTCTGCTCTACTACACTCTACCACCATGACTCTATGGACACTGATCTACATATATAAAATGAAAGAAGTTAAAATAATCATTTTATGGAATGATGGCTCAGTAAAACAAAACTAGTGTGACTCAGCAGAGTTTGCAATTACAGGACCTGGATTTTAATCAATATAAAATATTTTATCTTAACTTTCATTATTTTTTAAAAACTTATTTGTAGAAAAAGTTCACAGCAGAATAATAAATGGAGAAATTAAAGACTCAGCAGATGGTAATGGAGAGAAAAGGAGAGTCATAAATAATAAAATACAGGGGAAAAAAATTAAAGAAAAGACTTTTAGTGAAATGAGACAGACTTAGCTTAAGTTATTCCTTAGAGGAATGAGGTAACCCACTAAGAAGACAATTATCTTTTGAGGTTTAGCTTAGAATTTCTCACCAGCAGAGGAAAAACTGAATTTTCTTTCAGTCTATATTTAGAATTCACATTGTTCAGTGAATCTCCATCTCTGGTATGAGCAGAGAAGATAAGTAAAATAAGCAGACATGAGGTTGAAGACTACCTCTAGAATTAGTAACAAAATCAGTGATTTTCTTCAGCATTGTTCCACAGTGATGGAAACCACTTTTCACCTGTGGTCAGGTGGTGTGACCTCCAACAGCTACACTGGTAAGCTAAAAGTGAAAATCTTTCTCTGAAAAAAGGAAGTTACAGCCCAACTACTGCAGTGTGTCCAATGTCTGTCCTTCTGTACAGAAACCAAAATGCAAGCAACTTAAAACCTTAAAGAAATCACACGTATGTGAAACAAAGGTGTGAAAGGAAATGTAACAATTGGATAATGGTACAAAGTAAAAGGAAGAATAGGGGTATTGTAAGAATAATGAATAGAAATAGAATAACTATTACACTACACAGATTACCTAAAAATACATAGTTATATAAAAACATAGTGATTGAATAACTATATGTTACATTTACTATCTGTTGTTACACTACTTTCTGACAGAAGTTCTTTTTTTTGAAAGAAGAGAACACGTGAATCTACAAGATAGTTAATAATATTGAGGCAATGATATATACTGTTACTTAATTATTGAATTAATATTTTGCAATTTGCAGAACTCTAGAAGATAGATATACTTATTTTCCTGTTAGACTGTAAGAACTCCTCATGTTTAAAAAAGAAATACAATACCTGATTAATATTCAGCACCTATGAAATTGATTTACTTAAAAAGACCTATGAAAAAATGAGCTAAAATAGGTAAAACCATAATTTGAAATATATTCATAGTTTCCCAACACAGTAGAAGGGAATTTGAATCGTAAAATACAGGGTTAAATTCTGATCTATAGGTATGATGGGACTGCAGTGCATAATTGAAGATGTTTCATAAGCCATTCAATAAGGAATGGAGACAATAAAATATGAATAAAATTAGATATAACTCAGCCTTGTTCACTTTAATAAGAGCTTCATCTCCTAAGGCATTAAGCAAAAGAGAATTAATGACGCTGTCTTCATTATTGCTCTTTCATTTATGAACACAGGTACAATTTTTTTGTTTCTAAACTGTTAGAACTAAAATGGTTCAGACCAATTTGAGTAAGAAATTTATACTTTATTCAGAAAGCACATGTATGTGTCTGGTCCTTTTTTGTTGTAGGGGAAAATCCACAATCAGATTAATCCACAGAAGTACAGCAACGTATTTTTTTCAGCTACCAAACCAACCCCCAAGTTTCCTCATAATAATATTCTGATCTAGTAAGTTAATCATATGTATTCTTTTAAATAATACAGACTGAGAAAAAAAAATTGTTTTCATTTAAACAGCCAAAGTAGTGTTATTTTATAATTTCCATTAAATAACCTGCTAGATCACACTGACTTATCTTCCAGCTTCAGAAAAGATGCTATCTTTCTACATGCTGCGGGTGATCCTTCTATCTAGAGAATATCCAGAGAAGTAACTGTAAGAGTTTCTATTAAGATATTTTTGTATCTGTTTTCAAAGTCCCATACAATGGTCTTCCAGAGAGAACTTGTCTTCCTGTCAGCAATGCCACACAATCAGCATTCCCACATTTTCTATTTTGCCTTGTGTGTTGATAGATTGAGTTGCCAACTATGTTCTTAAAATGAAAATATTTCTGCTAATATGTTAGAAAAAGTTTATCATAGGCAGGAAAAATATACATTCAATAGCAAATGCCTAAGAATGCTTCTAGAAGGATTGAGTAGAAACTTGATTACATATTGGGGTAAGGTTTAATTTCTTATTTTGGCTGAGATCTGAAGTGTATGTGTCCCAAAAAATGTAATTCCATCATGATGTCTCTCTCTAATATATGTTACCATCAAGGTCTACTACTACAGCTTGGCATAGAATGGAAAATCAGGATGTGAAATCAGTTTTGTGTTTACGTGATGAGGAAAAACTGTGAGGCTGTTGCCAGAAAAGAAAGATGGACATAAGTGTGGGTCTAGAGTAAATAAAATACTGCCAGTCAGGCTAACTGAAAGTGTAAAAGGGACCTGGAAGGCTGGTGTGTACTCAGGACCTGACAGAATTGCCCCTTTCATTCCTTTCTGCTGATATTCAGTAGCAGGACAAAATCAAACAATATCTTTTTTGCTATTACCCTAAGGAGATAAAAGGTTGGATTAAAAAATTCAGGAGCTGCAATTCGGAGCTGAGCATCTTCATTTAAAATCAGCAGGGAGTGCTATTTGGGACAAAGTGGTTGTCATGAGTAGTTCCACTATGCGTGATTATGCATGAGTGTGTCCTGGGGGGTCAGGAACTAAGCTAGGGCTGGCTTAAGTGTAAACATTAGAGGGAGGACAAAAGATGCACTAGATAGACTATATATATATGAGAAAATAAATTTAATTTTCTCACTGTGAAAGTGTATCAGTGGTCCCCTAAATATTATTATTTTATTAGAATCCTTGCTAAATTAACTGAAAAGTTTCGGAGCAAATGTTTTTTCTTACAAAATATTAATGTTGTTTTGCATTAATAACACCATAAATCTCAGTTTGTAAAAGTGCCACTTTATAGGTAATGCCTTCCCAATGAACACTGCTGGAAATCACATCATTGAGACTGTGTAGAAAACAACAACTTTGCATATAAAATGCTCATCTTTCCCTATCTGTCACTCCAGAAAACAGCATGACTACTACAGCCAGCTCTGGAATATATTGTAGTAATATGGCAGCTTAAAGCCAGGCAAGAATACAAATATGACATGGATGGGTAATAACTTATTAATGAAAATGCTAGAGGTCAGGGTAAGGCATGTCTCTGAGTTTTTTCCTCTTTCTCCATTATTATTTGGACTCTGTCTTTCCCTGGCTTACTGTAATATCTCCTGCTTTCCTTATATTTTTTCATAGCCTAAACATTTTGATCTCTAGCTTCATCCTCATTTTGAAAATACACCGTCAGCATTTACTACTTTTAACTGCAAGGACTTGCAAGGATTATAACACTGTAACTCTTATTTGTTGATACTAGTTCTCCTGGAAAACCTCTTACTGATTTTTCTTTTGCGTAGCACAAGAAACACAAGAATGGATGATCTTTAAGCTTCTTGCTTGGCAGAGAAATTGTCTGTGACAGAGATCAGTCTGACTTAGGAGATGACTTGCAGTTGAGTCATCTGCCTTTTCTCTCATGGTTCCTTGGCAAGTGACTATCTTTGGCTAGTAGGCTGTCTTGGAATTTTTGCTAGTCTGCACTGCTTATATCAGACCCACATTAGATATTGGTGCACTGCAGCTTTAACACACTAAAGCTGGTGTTTAGTGGACTTTGGAGTGAAATGGATAAAGCATTTTTTAATTAAATACTAAAATAATACACATGTAGGAGTTACTGATAATTTAAGCAGCTACAGAAAGTCTTAAGACTTTTCTTCAGCTGACATGTTTTGCTAAACCTGGAAAATGCAGTGCAATTCCTACATGTTTCTCAAAATCAATTAATTAATTAATTAATGGGAGAAAAAGTAGGTCTCACCTATACCTCCCATGAGATTTTCCAAACCCATCACCTCTAAGAACTTTGTGCTAAATGTGATCATCTCCTGAACATCCAGGAAAGTATAAAGATACATGGGTCAACTTTGCCTCTTTGTAGGCATCTGTTTCATCTGTCCTCCCTTGAATTTCTGAACTCTATGGCACTCAGTGGTGCTATAGATGGGAAGAAGAAAGCAGGGAGAAAGGCCCTCTCTCAGGTCTTCTGGCATATATATTGTCAGATTGGCTTAAAAATGCAAATTAGCTGACAAAGAAGAGATGTTAGCTGAGTATCCAAACTGCTATTAATTTATTAAGAATAGGATAATGGGAAAAGTTACACAGATCACAGAGAATGTAATATTGATATGAGAAATCATCCTTGGTGCTCAGCCTCTGAGATCTCTTTTGTATGTTCACTACCAGCCTGACTCCCACCTGACCTGGGACTACTCTAGCTCTTTCCTCACACCTTTCCACAAACACCATAGAGTCTCCTCTGCTACTCTCTTGTGTTTCTAGATCAACTCTGTCTTTTCCCAGACACTTTTACATGCAAATTATTCTGAAAACAATTCTGTCCGTTATTTGAGACTCTTCAGAAGGTGCTGTATCATATATTCTTGTTCCCAGAGAGAACACTACCTTCTGATTGAAGCACAACAGGATACATTTCAGGATTTAATCTTGTCCCTACTCAGGAGTATGGCAAATGACATTCACTTCAAGGGTCACAAGGCTGCATGTAGGCAAAACAACAGACTGCATGAGGTATGTGCAGCAGCCTTCATCTCATCCTTATTCAGATCAAATCCAAGGCACAATGCAAAACTGGTTATCTGATGTAACCCTGCCTTTTGCCTTGGTAAGAGATGAGGATATGTTCAGGCTACTCGGGCTTGGAAGGCTGCATGAGACCCTTGCTTTAAAAGATGTTTAAACTGAATGACCTTACCATGTTACAAACTACATCTCCTGTGATTGTAATTGTTCACAATATATCTGGTTAACACACTCATTTCCTTCAGGACTGTAGCATGGTAGATATGTCCTGCTACTTAGAATCTCCTTCACTTGTGAAAATGCTGGAATTTTGTCCTCTGATTCACACAAACTAAGATCTAGATTTATATGTAAGTTTACACACACACGATACGCAGAAAAGATCTGCTGTATACTTACTCTTGTGTTGTTTCTTTCAGCTTTTAGTTCTGAAATCTCTTCCTCTTTTTCAAGCAGCTGTTCCCTGCATGCATTTAATTCTTTTGTCAGTGCAGCAAATTCCTGTAGAATAAAATTATATATGAAGTTATTCAAGATGTAAGCACTAGGATAATCAAATCCATGTGCCTTCTTGAGGATTTTAATAATACCTAGAAATCATCAACACAAACTAAAATAGCATATGTAAACTTCAGCATCTACCAAAATCATTTAAAGTCTAGACACAGCTAATAAAAGGTAACTACTGATTTAAGTTTAGAAACAAAAGAAGATTTGAAATGATGGCAACATCCCCCATACATAAGCTATCAGAACCACACCAGAAGAAGAACAGAACCGGCCAATTTCATAGCAACAGAGACACCACATTTCACACGTAAGGAGGTTCAACTCAACGTACCCACTTAGGAGCATTCTTGCCACTCCATAAGGCAGCGTTTGCAATATGGCATTTGAGAAAAATGTTAAGGTATTCACTAATCAAAATCTACCTAATATCAAATTAACAGAAGTAATATATGAGTTGTGAAAAAAATACTCTACTTGATATTGAAGTTAGCCATTAAAATGTATTCAGTCATTATAGTGAAATAGTCATCTGTGATGACTCAGAACAAGATTTTTTAGTTGGAATAAATTTCCTATGAATTAACAACATAAAATGAAAGTGAATTTTAAGCTGCTCCTGACATTAAGTTTTATGCATGTGTATTAGTTAAGAGGTGTTCTGAAAAACTTTTAGTTTTCAAAACTTCTATTAAAATGTTTTGAATTTACCACTGCTCTTCAACAATACACATAAATTTTTGTCTATACAAAGGGCGGTTGTAGAGTTGTTATTAATTTCAATAAGGAAAAAGTTTCACTCCATATGTGTTTATTTTGACAGACGTAAGATATACTAAACTGTAGTGGTTAATTTTATCCTTTATAGTAAAAAAGATGCTATGTATCTCACAAACACAGGAGGGTAGATGAAAAGCCTTTCAGATTTGTGATCACGTTTTGAGAAAAAAATTGTCCTGAACAGCTGTTTAACAAATATGTGTACGTATTTTTAAATACTGGGTTAATTTTAATTTGACCGGAACAGCCATAAGAGCCCACCAGCTCACAAGCAAGAAGTTAAGCTGCACTCCAAGAGAAAGCAGATCAAGAAAAAAACATGTCCAGGTGGTTTATCTTCTCAGCCAGTAGGATGAAGCTGAGACTCAATCTCCTTATTTAAGTCAAAAGCTGTGATGATCTCAAAAGGGCTTGGTTTGCTGCTTCTCCTCAAGCTGTGGAAAGCAGCTTTTAGCTGAACTAAATAGGTGTTCAACAGAACTTTGGTGGGTATTCCTAGTTCCATTCTATTTTAGTCAAGTTTTTAAATAGTTAACAGTATATGGTATTGTATATTAGAAATTATTCAAATAAATTTCAAGTGATATTCTGGAAACATATAGCTAAGGGTACTTTATTTTTCATTTTTCAGCAGCTGGAACTGGAAGTGCAGCAGACCTTCATGCAAATTGCATGGTAAGAAAGAGGGTGTTCTGATACCCTCAGTGGATTTTGTTTTAGACACTGGCTATTGATCACATGAACCATATATTGATGTTTTGTGTCCTACCTTCCAATCAGTATTTGCTTTTTACATCCTAGTGGTCAGGTACATATAAGGCTACACAGTATGTTGAAACCCTTAGCCTAGGTTTGAAAATGAAATTTTTATTGTAATACTCTTCCCTTGCTTTTCAAAAGTTTCATTAACACTTCTGCCTATAGGTCTTAAACTAGGATTCAGAAACTACTAGTCCAGCAGTGTTATTCTGTTCAGATTTAAAAAAAAAGCAACTCCTGTCCTTAAGGTTCTGTGTTACATACTGAACAAAAAATCAGACTAAACAGAAAGCTAGTGATCTCAACTCACACTGAATCAGAATTTTGAAGCACAAAACCACACATAAACACATTTTTACACATTTTTGTCTACAGCCCTACGGGGTGGAGCCCTTGTTACATACACATGGATTAGTGTCTGTAATACTAGAGTCTCACAAAATAAACTTTCAGTGTAATTTATGGAGTATGTTGTTGCTGTTTATGTTTTCTCATTTCTTGGTATTGTTTCAGCTGGAATTAAAATAGACATTTTGGCATAGGCTTAAGCATCCGTACGGGTGACAGGCGGTGGAAAGGACAACAAATGTCATCTGGTGCCTTACAGTTTGAGTTCTGAACTACAGTAAGGCAAATCAGTCTGGTAACCTGCATTTCCTGCTTTCCTTGCAAATAAAAAAAAATGAATGTTTATCAAATTGCACATCTTTGCTGTGCCAAGGCAAGCCTACAGCCAGTACAATCCCTACTGCTTTGGTCAATGCTCCTACTAGTTTGCTAAGCAGCATGGAGTTTATTCTTAGGGTAACTTCTGGTCATCAGAGCAAGTTTTCCCTTGCTTTTAAGCAAATAATTTCTCAAAATTCTGCTCCCAGTGAGCCCTATACCTAACGTAATGTTGTTTCAACCTCCCAATATCTTCAGTTTATACTCAAAACATCTATTAGCATCTACCTTAGCTGGGCTACCTGTGTCCAGTGTTTTAGTCTTTGTTATTTGAATAGCCAACATTATCCTTTGAAGCCTATTAATTATTTATTCAGTTGCTGCTGCTGCTCTCTGAGATTTCTCTGTGCTTTTGACATACCTGCACACACTTACAACAAGCAGTCACCTCTTCATATGTCTAGAGCTCAAGTGGCCAGCTTCACCTGAAGTACTAGAGACTGCTCTTTCATCAAGAGCTTGGAATTCTCCGAGTTGAAAAATGACAGAAAGAGGGCATTATTCCTTGTGTTTACATCATAAGCCTTTTACAGGGAAAGTCTCAAAGTAAATGGAGTTTTCCTCAGAGCTTTATAAATTATTATTTCTGTCACATCTGTTTTCATAAATTAATAACTAGGGTAACACCTCACAACTTCCAAATAATACTTCCAAAACTATATGTAAAACTTATTTTAAAACTAAACTTTTTATCCAAGATATCTCTGTGATCAGTGCTCCAGGAAACATTTTTTTTCCCAAAGGTTCTATGCTAAGCAGAGCATATTTTTGTTTTAACATAACACTCAGTTATGTAATAAATGACATGTGATGATAATGACCTCTGCTCATGCAATTCCCTCATATATATATACAGGGATCAAGGGAATACTGTCATCTGGAATTACTGTTTGCAGCAGAAATCTTGCATGGTCAGTGACCACGACAGTCAGTCATACTTTGGGAGCCCTGAAGGTAATATCTGTTGCATAACTAACAGGAACTGACAGGCACAACTGCACTCTTAAAGCTCATATAGAAGTTGCATGGCTGTAAAGCTAATTAAGAAATTAAGTGAATTAAAACTCTATGAAAATCATTCAGTTGATTGCACTGGTTTTATACCATACTGTGACATCAAGATGTTGCAATTTTTTCCGAGATAAATAATCTGAGAAAGAGCATTGTTTTCCCCATCTGAATAAACATAATCTCAGAGCCTTAACTACTGTCTTAACTACTGCTTATCTTTTCCTCTTAACACTTGGCCTATGAAATTAAGCCTTGAAAACCAATTCAATAGAAATTTGTAGCTACTAAAGGGACCACTAGAAGTTACCAATAAACAAAATTCAAGGAATCCCCTGGTGAAGAAGCTGAAATACAGTTGGAGCAGAGGCTGGAGGGTGCCTGAGAGAGTGGGATGCCATTGGGACAGGAAGGCTGGAAGCACTGCCAGATGTGTGGGCAGCAGGACTGGGCAGGGGACATTTACATCTACTACAGCTCTCTTACCATTAAATTTCTGCTTCTGGGTGCTGGCTCAAGAAATCCTTCTTTCATTGTTTGTTGTTTCCAGGAAAGGCCTGCAAGATTTATTTTTTATGACCAAATGTGCATAAAACATACATAACTAGTCTCCAAATTGAGGGTATGCCATTGAGATTATAGCATCTCATATCTCTGATGCTCAAATGCTCAGAATATGATCTAGTCCAAACTGAGCTGAAATAAAAACACAGCCTCTCATCATCCCCACAAAAAATACTGAAATAAAGTAGAAATTTTGTGATAGTAATAACAAAAAACTAAGTTAAAAACACATAAAAGTCAGTTTTGGAGATACTGAGGAGATTCAGCTTTAAAATCTCCTCCTCTGGATTTTCCATCATTGAACGACAGCTCATTTCAGGAATGAGTGAGTGAACTAATCTCTGCATGGAAAAAGAATGGTAAGGGTTTATAATTTCTATTTTACATTCAACACAAGCTATGTCAACCTGAGAGTTCCATTAATTGGCAAAGGAAGATGAAGATGAAGATTTGCACCAGGGGAGGTATAGACTGATGTTAGGAAACAAGCTAAGCTTCCACTTGGTGGAAGCAACATTGCTGGAAGCATTCAAAAAACGTGTGAATGTGGCACTTGATTTAGGAGTGGACCTGGAAGCGTTGGGTTAACAATTGGACTCAATGACTTTAGAGTCTTTTCCAACCACTATTTGATTATTCTAAGACGACAAGATTTCTGTTACATAAGAGAGAGAACTGAGTGCCCTGGTTTCAGCTAGGGCAGAGTTAATTTCTTCCCAGGAGCTGTCACAGTGCTGTGTTTGGGATTTGGAATGAGAATGCTGTTGGTAACACGTTGATGTTTTGATTTTTGGCTAAGTTGTGTTAATCCTAAATGAAGGACCCATTTTTTCCCTTTTCTCATGCTCTGCCAGTGAGGAAGTATACCAAAGAAACTGGGGAGGAGCACAGCTGGGACAGGTGACCTGAAGTGACCAAAGGGACACCCCAGAATGTTATGCCCAGTGTGTAAACTGGGGGGAGTTGCTGAAAGGGTGGCTGATCTGGGTTCAGGAAGGGGAGTCTGGCATTGGTCAGTGTGTTCTGAGTACCTGCATTGTGCATCACTTGTTTGGTTTTTTTCCAATTCTTATTCTTATTCACCATTATTATTGCATTTTACTTTTTTTCACTAATTAAACTGTTAAGAACTGTTCTGTTTTTATTAAACTAAACTT